TTCCATTATTAACATGCCCACTGTTGCCGTTCCAGTGTCCATTTGTAATGTGATTGTAAATAAGAGCACCATTTTCATCTTCACAGAATTGGTTGATGAGCTTAGACTCAAGTGCTGAAACAAGAAAATAAGAAATCTGTTAATTTTTAGGGACTTTACAACCTGTCAGCTGAAAGCAATTGTAGTGATATTTATAACATCTGAATGTGATTATCACCTGGTAGCGTATTGAAGTCATCAATGAGGTACATGTGTTCACTGTCGGGGTCAGAGGCAATGAGGTTGAGTTCTCGCAGGAACTCAGCCTGTGTAGGATCAGAAGAATTGACAATCCCCAGGGCATACATCTCAATATTTGCAGCATGAGCCTCCCGCACAGCTATGTCGAGTTTGACAGGCTCTCGTTTGTCAGTCTGACCATCAGTGATGACAATGGCTACTTTTCTGACTCCAGGCCGAGCACTGAAGAAAGCATCCTGGGTTGCCTTTCTGATGGCCGTGCCAGTGTAGGTGCCCTCACCCACATAAAGCATTTTTCTGATTGCCTCCTTGACGTCCTGTTTGTTCATGTAGCGAGCCAAGTTGAATTCCAAATGGACATCCAGACTGTAGAGGACCAGTCCAATTCTGGTGGCGTTGTGTCCAACTGTGGTCCGGTCCACCAACCTGGTGACAAAGTCCTTGATGATTTCAAAGTTCTCAGGGCCGACACTCTCAGAGCTGTCGATGACAAACACAAGTTCCATTGGCCTGTCCTTGCACTTGATGCCGCATCCTGAAAACAAGCACATATTTTTAACAATTGTATATAACATTTCTTTGTAGCAACCTGAATAATGGTATGTCCAGTACTCTGGTTTACCTAATGCATTAGACAAAAGTAACAGCTCCGTAAGGATGTACTTAGCCAATGGGCTGCTTTGAGCTAAATGCTAATATCAGCATGCTAACATTATCACAGTAACATTACAGTCTTAGCTGAGATTGTTAGCTTGCTAAAATGATATAATTAACACTACAAAAGTACAGCTGAGGCTGATGAGAATTTCATTAGTTTGGCAGGTATTTGGTTCTAAACCAAAGTACTGGACAAACTGAAATTTTGACTTTTTTCTATCCAGTATTGAGATATTTCAGTCTGGACCAAAATGTTGGACTGATTGACAGTTCGATTAGAAAAAAAGAAAGAAAAAAACCTGTAGTTTATACAAAATGCTGCTGCCAGAATTTAAACCAAAAATGACAATGAAATACCTACTGTTTACTGTCAATCTAAAGTACCAGCATCATAAAACTATTTAGTTTTTTTTTTTAGATTTACATGCCAAATTTCTTAATTTATTTGGTTTAATTTTATTTTCTTTAATATGTACTGAATATGAGTTTTCATAGAGTTGGATACACCCATACTACACATTTTCACGCCCACAAACTAAATTGAGTAATCCCTTTGTCTCTTTTTGTTAATGTCTGTTATCTCATATTCTATGTTATGTCCTTTGCCCTGTAAATGTGTTATTATTCATGTTGCAATAAAAAAATAAATACATAAATAAACTACCAGCACCTTAAAGGTTTTAGAAGGTTATACTAATAAATTAGATTGGACTTGTGGTCTTACCACAGATTTCTTTGATCAGCCTAATAATGTCTTCTCTCTGAAAAATATAAAAACATTTAAATCAGTATAACATACATTGAGGAGTGGTTCACCATTTTATAAATTAAAGAACTTACTGTGAGGCCTTGTTCTCCTTTTGCACCTGGCCTCCCCTGGGATTGGAGAAAAGTTAAAAACAGTGTCACTGTTTCTGTTCTGTGCTATGAGTGTTATTCTCATATGATGGTATGAAGGTGATGAAGGTGATGGTTGTGAAAATGAGTATTATTATTCAACATGTGATTCCTACCATATCAAACTACTGATCAGTTTTGAAGGTATACTTACTCTCTTATTGGACACACTTCTTTAAACTCACTGCTCTAGATTATGAGAAGTATCAAGCCTATCAACCCTGCATTTATTTCTCAATTTACTCCATGTGCATCTCAGCACATTTTACAAGAAAAGACCTGTTTTACTTACTGCTTCACCAGGGACTCCAGGATCTCCCGTGTCTCCTTTTGTACCTTTCGTACCCCTCTCACCTTGTAATCCACGGTCACCCTGTAACATTGGGAGATATATTATCCACCAGAAACCAGTTAGACACATTTCCACAAAATATTTGAAAACCTACACTTTCATGCCTCACCTTAGCACCAGAAAGGCCATGTCCTTGATGCCCTCTAGGGCCAGTCATACCTTGAGCTCCTGGTTCGCCCTGGAATTAGACACAACTTTTAGTGAATCATCCAGGAGAGGATAAGGATAGTTACCTTTATTGGCCAAATATATTGCACACAAGGAATTTGTTTCTGGTACAGAACCGATGGCAGCCATCTGCGGTGCCACCTCAACAATGGTTCTAACCATCGGGGGGGTTCAGTGTCTTGCCCAAGGACACTTCGACATGTGGAATACCAGCACCAAGATTCAAACCTTCAACCTTCTGGTTGGGAGACAACTGCTCTACCCACCGCACCACTGTTGCCTCCCAGAGAGATTTATCCAGACTCTTGAAAGATCATAAATTATTGCCAGATACGTCCTGCAGCTAGTGTGTCAGTCAGTTTTGTATTACACAGCATGTCAACACAAATTAATTGCATCATATTGCTGCACTCTTTCTTGCTGTGAACAAGAACATTCAAATGCCAATTAATCCCGATAACGAAAAGGTTGTTACAGTAAGTGTTTGAAGTACAGCATTTACCTTTGGCCCTTGAATACCTTCTCCGGGCAGTCCAGTTGGACCAGGAGGTCCTGGCTTCCCAGTATTACCCTTAAAACAAATGTTAACAAATATAAAAGTAATCACACCGCTGGTTTAAAAGAGGCAACAAATAATTAGTGAACTTGCATATAGTAAATGACCAGATAAATACACAGTACAATCTCTGCCTTATATACCAGTAGGGGTTCATTTATCTTATTATCAGCTGTAATTCAGATTTTAACTTTAATTATAATTAGGTAATGAATGGTAAATAATGTTTCTTACTGGTGGACCTGGTAAGCCCTCTCCAGGTGGGCCAGGCAAACCTGGCAATCCTCTATAGCCAGCGTCCCCCTTGAACAGACATTACATCTTCAAATGGATTATGATCATCATCATACATACACACACACAATTCCACATAAACAAACAGACACCTAGCCAAAAAAAAAATGAGTAGGCACAAACTTTG